ATCCCCGCTATATCTGAGCAAAGATGCACAAAGTCACAATGCTACTGCAGTTACCGTGAGTAAAAAAGACTCACGTAAAGGTGCCTGAAAGTAAATTTTGTTATAATAATCATAGAATCGTCTAGGTTGGAAGAGACCCTTGGGATCATCGAGTCCAACCATCTCCCCTACTCTACAAAGTCCTCCCCTACACGATGTCCCTCAGCACTGCATCTAAACGGCCCTTAAACACAGCCAGGGATGGGGACTCCACCCCCTCCCTGGGCAGCCTGTTCCAATGCCCGACCACTCTTTCGGGGAAAAATTCTTTCCTAATGTTCAATCTAAACCTCCCCTGTTGGAGCTTGAAGCCGTTCCCTCTCGTTCTGTCACTAATTACCTGTGAGAAGAGACCAGCACCAACCTCTCTATAGTGTCCTTTCAAGTAGTTGTAGAGAGTGATGAGGTCTCCCCTCAGCCTCCTCTTCCTCACACTAAACAGCCCCAGCTCCCTCAGCTGCTCCTCATACGATTTGTTTTCCAGCCCCCTCACCAGTTTCGTTGCCCTCCTCTGCACTCGCTCCAGCACCTCCAGATCTCTCTTGGATTGAGGTGCCCAAAACTGGACACAACACTCGAGGTGTGGCCTCCCCAGTGCTGAGTACAGGGGCACAATCACCTCCCTACTTCTGCTGGTCACACTATTTTTGATACAAGCCAGAATGCCATTGGCTTTCTTGCCCCCCTGGGCACACGGCCGGCTCATATTCAGCCGCTTGTCAACTAGAACCCCATTATTATAAATTAGAAATGAAACGTTGTGTTTATTTACGTCGCTTTTCCACCTTTTCGTTACGGAGTGAAAAGGTGGAAAACCTTTTTTTTTAGGGAAAACATCTGCAGTTTGTGTGTGTGTGTGAATATTTTTGATTTAACAGCAGTGTGTGTGTGTGTGAGTATTTTTGATTTAACAGCTTTCCCCCTTGTGCTCGGCATGCTGCGGAGCGAGTTAAGCACACAAGCCCACCCCAAGACACTTTTAATCCTTTTTTTTTCTTTTTTTTTCTTTTAATGTATAACAGTTATGCCTGAGTTACAGAGAGACACCTACAGGCAGCAGGTAGTTAAAGCAAATACCAGTTTCTCTTTTCTACTAGACTACTCCATATAGCTGAATAAATTATGGTGCGATTATATATATACACACGCACGCAGGCAGGCACACGGGCGCACGCACACACGCTCACACGCAGGCACACACATGGAGCAAAATGGCTATGAGTCAAACACAGAAGCAACATATCCGCAGTTACTAGGAATAAGGAATGTCCTATAGTGCTATGTAGATATTCCCCAGGCGGGTATATGGAGGTGTTAAAGGGGTGACGGGTTAGAAGCATTAAATACACAAAGTCTCTGAGCGACAGGAGCCAATCTGCTGAGTTACTGGACACAGTGAGGAAAGGTCCATTTTTTGGGGTCTCAGGAGGGCGCTGGGAGGTGAAGGGGGGGGGCACGGGGAGGTAAAAAGAAATCCCCTCGGCGTTTTTCCTTTTCCCCCCGAGGATGTCAGTTCTCATCTGCGGGCATGGAAGAAATGCCAAGCTGAAAGAACGACTCCGGAGCGTGTCCCTTGGCTTGGTGGGTTGTTGGGATGAGGAGCAGGACTGTTGGGGGATTCCCAGGCACCCTCAGAGTGTGGAGTTTCTGCTCAGTCCCCGTTTGGTCCCACTTGGAGCATTCTTCAGGGTCCATTCTTCAGGGTCCTGCTGCCCAGCCCTTGTCTGCTGCCCATTGCTACTCTTCCACGCTCGGGTTCGTTTCGCCTTCAAGGCACCTCCTTCTGTTTTGTGTCCCCCCCACCCCGTCCCACCCCACCCCCTGAGTTTGTCTCTTTTCAGCAGAACTGAGGTTGGCAATCCATAAACCAAACCAGAACAAAAAAAAAAAAAATAAAAAAATACTTGGACTTTCATACATGAACGTACCTTAAAACAAAACAAAGAAACAAACAAAAAATAAAATAAAATAAAATAAAATCCCCAAATCAAACCCATCCCACCCCAAAGATTCTGGAATGTATTTTGAAAACACACGATAGGCAAATTTCTACAGTTCATCCCCCCTCCCCCTTTTTTTTTTTCCTTTTTTTTTTTAATTTCTAAAAAAACCAAATAAAATTTTTTTTTTTTTTTTTTTAACTAGCACGGCACTCACTGTGTTTTTTAGTATAAAAAAATGTCAACTTTCTATAAACATACAGCACATGACCAAATTTCCAACTAATGTACAAAGTGCGACCACGAGGGAAAGGTCAGAGAATAGCTATTTGCGCTAGCACGGGGCGGTTTTCATATTCCTCTAAGAACTCTATTTACAGCAGTGCCCGGGTGGTCACGGACTTTCTGGTGAAGGTAATTGGCAAAGAGGTCTCTACGGCGCTCCCTCTTTTCAAAACTTTTTTGATTTTCGGGGTCCTGCACTCAGCTGAAGTCCTCCTGGGCCGCTCGCTTGCGGCGAGGACCGGCTGGCCCGTGTTGAGGGAGGGGAGAGGAAAAGGGAGAGGTCTCTGTGAGCAGGAGCAGAGGACAAGCAATTCTTGTGAGGAACTGAAACTTTCCTTCTAGTTTAGCAGGCAGCTGGGAATGCATTTGGTCAGAAATCTCTGGATAAAGAAGGGATTGCCACTGCCTGGGGCAGGTACGGGGCCAACAACCACCATCGACAACTCCATTTTCCTCGGGGGCAAGGAGGATGTGGATTGGAAGGTGCTCCCAAACAGGGTGATTATTGGTATTTGGCCTCTTAAATGCTATTAAATGTGGTGGGAAGAGAAAATCACGTGCTCTGGTGTTTTAGCAGTTGGCTCAGAATGATACTGAGCAAATTCAAACGGGTGCTTCAGTCACTAATCCCCGGGCTGGTGTCTCTCAGAGATGCTCTCTCCCTCGGTCCCTCAGTTCAGGTGTGGCTGAAGTTACTGCCCACGGGAATGACATTTAAGCCAGGGCTGGAATTCAAAAGGGATCTCTTCCTTAGATCAGCTCGAAAGCCTAAACACCCTAAACGAGCAGGAGCAGCAGACAAGCAATTCTCATGAGGAATTGAAACTTTCCTTCTAGTTTAGCAGGCAGCTGGGAATGCATTTGGTCAGAAATCTCTGGATAAAGAAGGGATTGCCACTGCCTGGGGCAGGTACGGGGCCAACAACCACCATCGACAACTCCATTTTCCTCGGGGGCAAGGAGGATGTGGATTGGAAGGTGCTCCCAAACGGGGTGATTATTGGTATTTGGCCTCTTAAATGCTATTAAATGTGGTGGGAAGAGAAAATCACGTGCTCTGGTGTTTTAGCAGTATTAAATGTGGCAGGAGAGAAAATCACGTGCTCTGGTGTTTTAGCAGTTGGCTCAGAATGATACTGAGCAAATTCAAACGGGTGCTTCAGTCACTAATCCCCGGGCTGGTGTCTCTCAGAGATGCTCTCTCCCTCGGTCCCTCAGTTCAGGTGTGGCTGAAGTTACTGCCCACGGGAATGACATTTAAGCCAGGGCTGGAATTCAAAAGGGATCTCTTCCTTAGATCAGCTCGAAAGCCTAAACACCCTAAACGAGCATATTCTGCTGCTTTCCAAGATCTCAAACTGGCACAGAGCAGGGAGAGTGAAATGCAACTGGTCACCTCAAGGGAAGTGGTTCCTTTGGCCTCACCTATTCATCCAGCTGTAGGTGCTAGATGTTGCCCTGAGAAAGGATGCGGGGAATGCAAGCTCCAAGTGCTTCAAAAGCTGTGTGATCCCAGGAAAATCTATCATAATTAAAGGGAAGCTTTAGGTGTGATACAGCTGGACAAGCAGAGGCTGAACTGGGATCTCTGGAGCATAAATGAGAGTCTCTGGATGCAGATGTTGCCCAGCACAGAGCTTCTGCACAGAAACATGCCAGAGTGTGAGAGGCAGAGTAGCCAAGCTGGTGCATTAATATGCTTTTAGGAATGTAGAGCAGGCTCTGTCACAGCCATAAAGCAAAGCTGATGAGAGCCAGATGTGGCTCTGATAAGACGCTGAGCAACCTAAGGAGGAAACCCCTGCTTTGGTCAGAACAGGTACTTGCCCACATGGCCCAAGAGAAGGAGGGTTGGTGGTTCATGATAAATGATGTCAGGGCAAGGCAGGGGATAGTTCCCCAGAAAAATGTTGTTTCAGCTGCAAAAACAAGATGAGATTGTTTGAGAAGAATGGAAGAAGCAGCAGCAACAGAAGAGAGCAAAAGAGAAGTGTCTCCTTTAACAACCTGGGAGCATGTGCTGGACCAGAACTCATCTGACCCCATTATCGCCAGTGGACAAATGCAGACATTCATTATCCTAAAGCAGACATATAAAACAGTAAGTGTATTATAAACTCAGTCTGTAGATGACTTTAAGTACTGCCTGTTGCCATTGGACTCTACACATCAGCTACTGGCTGGCAGAGATTCTGTGCATCCCAGTGGTTATCTCAGGGGCAGCTTTCCCTGGCCTCTCCAGGTCAAATTTTGGCACGTAAACTCTAACAGTCTGTAGATGACTTTAAGTACTGCCTGTTGCCATTGGACTCTACACATCAGCTACTGGCTGGCAGAGATTCTGTGCATCCCAGTGGTTATCTCAGGGGCAGCTTTCCCTGGCCTCTCCAGGTCAAATTTTGGCACATTTTTGAAGGTGAAGGGGGAAAAGGTCTATAATATCAGAAAACATCTGCTTAAGAATCATCAAGGATCATCAGCATCTGCAAAAGGGAAATTATTTAAAAAGCTATGTGGTTCATGACTTAGCAATAACCTCTTATTGTTGGCTGCTTTCATCTGAGCAGAGTGATGAGCGGAATCGTGAGCCGATCCAAAAGCGAGAGCAGTGGCTGCTACGGAAAAGTGGGGTGATAAATCCAGAGAACAAGATCTGGCTTGGAGAGAAAAAGGCTCCACCACTGAAGCAGAGGGAAGGGACTGAGAGATCGAGTGTTTTGAAGGTGAAGGGGGAAAAGGTCTATAATATCAGAAAACATCTGCTTAAGAATCATCAAGGATCATCAGCATCTGCAAAAGGGAAATTATTTAAAAAGCTATGTGGTTCATGACTTAGCAATAACCTCTTATTGTTGGCTGCTTTCATCTGAGCAGAGTGATGAGCGGAATCGTGAGCCGATCCAAAAGCGAGAGCAGTGGCTGCTACGGAAAAGTGGGGTGATAAATCCAGAGAACAAGATCTGGCTTGGAGAGAAAAAGGCTCCACCACTGAAGCAGAGGGAAGGGACTGAGAGATCGAGTTGTACAGAATAGGACAAAAAATAAGAGGACTCGGGGAAGAGCCGGGAGGATGGACAGGGACAAGGACTTCTCCTGGGAGCTAGAAGATAAAGAATTCTGTTGGTAAATCTTTCCCTACAGCACAAATAGGTGCAATGTTGCAGCTGAGAGCACCTTTCCTCCCTAGGTGCTGTTAGACAGCCTCTTCAGGCCATCTCCCCTCTGATTCCAGGGCCACATCCATCCCTCAGTGAGAGGCAGCTGTGGGAAAGCACCTTCAGAACCAGCACCACTTTGTTTCAGGTGGTCCTTTACCTGCAGAAGAACCTGGCTGTGCAAACTAACCCCTCCGAGCAGGCAGCTGACGAGCACCTCTGACTCTTCCCTCCCTTGTCTTTGCTCTTGGGGCCAGCTTCTCCCCAGCTGAGTGGAAGAAGGGCCACTAAAAGTCCTCACCCTTCCCAACTGGCTGGGCCAAAGCTCCAAGATGATGGGGTGTATCTGATGCCCTTCCTCTGTGCCGTGCAAGGCCAGCGTTCGCCATCGCGTCTCCTGCCGCTATCTGACTCCCGTGTCTTTTCAGTGATAATCAGCTCTAAATTGGTCCCTAAGAGGAAAAGTAAATGGCTCTCGTGCCTGTGCCCATCATCTCCAGTCCTCGTGCAGCAATTTACATTTACACTTTCCAAAGGTCCCAGGCTGGACGGACTTACATCCTGCCCCCGCTCAGCAGCGATCTGGCCTGCTTGGGCCCTGCTTTGGGAAGCCATCGGTGAGGGTAGAGTGGGGTGGGGAAATTTGCTGTCACTTTAATAGATGGGGTTTTGTCTGGTTTTTGTTTGTCTTTGTGGTTTGTTTTTGTTTTGTTTGTTGTTTGTTGTTTTTTTTTTAAACAAGTTCTTATATTTGGTCCATAGGTCTTCTGTGGTCCCGAATTGTATCACCCTTAATGATCAGCTTGGTTATTCCTTCCTATACAACATTCACCAAATTTACAGCAATGGAAAGAAAAGGAAACATTTCTTTTTTTTTACAAAGAAAAAAACAAAAAAAACAAAAACCAAAAGAAAAAGATCAATTTGGCTTTGACTATGCCAACTACCTAGATCAATGGAAAGTCCTTAAGTGTGGGCAAAACCCCATGGCCAGGTAGGTCAGAGGGAGGGCATGAACTCGGGGTTAATAAATGTACCCAACCCGTTGTCTCTGGCCACAGGAGGAGTCAGGTCACAGAGGCCTCCCAGAAGAGCACTCTCTGGGAAGAGCTGGATCCTTGGAGAGCCCTCCCCCTCTTTCCCGTCTCCTTCACAGCCCGAGTTGGTGCCAGGCGGAAGGGAATTGGGAAGGAGCAGGGTCCGGGTACAGGTAGATCCCTGGAAGGCTGGTGGTGTTTTCTCCAGTGGTACCACGTTGCTGGAGTGGGTTGTTGGCACAGTCGGACTCTTCAGTAAGCTTGGCCTGTCTCTACTGGTAGGAGGCCCAGAACGGCTGAATGTTCTCCCAGCTTCATCCTGCGCTGTGTAGACAGACTCACGTTCTTGGCCAAATAATCAACAGCGGCTGAAGGGGAGGGAGGGGGAAAAGGAGGGTGAGAAAACAACACAACATTAGCATTTAGAGCAAACGAGGCTTTCAGCATCAAAGGGCCTGTAACCGACAGACCTCGCAGACCGGGGTTCGTACGATGCAGTGGTTGTCACAGACACGAGGGTCCTGCGTCACTCCTAGGAAAGGGTGCAAAGAGATGATGGTCCTGCAGAAACACCTGGGTAGGTCTCCACGGACCTACTGAGAAGCTACAATTCCACTTCTGCCATGGAAAATGGTGTTTCCAAGGGAGCTCCTTGAAGACAAGCCTGAGGAGAAACCCAGTGGGATAAGCCTTCCAGCCTCACCTCCCTGTGTCATCTCACGGCGGCAAAGCCAGCTCCTGCACTTCGTGGTGCTGGTGTAAGTGATTCCAGAGATTCCAGTGGAAGCTCACCAAGTCTGGACGGGGCTTGACTGTGACTCATGGGCTGCGTGCTGACTCATCTCTGTGAGCTCTCTGCCTGCCTCCATCTGCCTTTGCTAAGGCAAACCCCTTCCCTTATCTCCATCTGGGTGGGAAACGCAGCCACCACTCCTGAGGCGATGCCTGAACCCGTATCCCAGCTCTGCCCCATGGTCTGAGGGGGAAGAGGACCGGGGCAGGATGGTGACATTGCTCATTAGCCAAGCTTCAGTCAAAGTCTCTCCCTTTCACTAGCTTTAATGTCTCAAATTAGATTAATAAGGAGCTGGCAGGAGATGTACAATCGGTGCCAATGAGTAAACAAATTTCAGCCATCAACGTCTTGTCAGACGCCTGCCCCAGAGGAGGTCCCTTCCAGACACAAATTCTTATTAGACTTGTCATATCTATTAGAATTCCTTTCACGCTTCTGCGTTCCATCACCGGCATCATTAACACAGCCCCGGCCTTTGGGAACCAAGAGGACCACATTAATCTGGCATCTCTGCTCCTCGCCGGCTGGGACAGCGCAGGCCGAGCGAGCGCCGGGCGGTTGGCGCGCTGGAACCGAGCAGGATGGGCACGGGGCAAGTTCTCCAGGGCCAACGTGAGCCCTGCTGGGGAGCACGGCTTCTACAGGTGGCACAGAAAGGAGCAAGTGGGGCTGGTGGCCCTTGGGGACAGGGATCCTGGGGTAGCTCGACTCGAGCGCCGGGCTCTGGAGCGTTGTGTTATGGTGCCTCTGGCTTCAAGTGGGGTCTGCAGAGGGTTAGACCCCAAACTATGGCTCTCGTCCAGACCTTATCAGCTTGGTCCCCTGGTATTGAGGAGAGATGGGGAGGGAGCCTTATGAGGAATGGAGCCATAGGATGAGGGGTAGCAGTTTTAAAGAGGCAATGGAGCCATAGGACAAGGAGTAATGGTTTTAAACTGAAAGAAGGGAGATTGAGATGGGATCTGGAGAAGAACTTCTTTGGTGTGAGGGTGGTGAGAGCCTGGCCCAGGTTGCCCAGAGAAGCTGTGGCTGCCCCATCCCTGGAGGGGTTCAAGGCCAGGTTGGAGGGGGCTTGAAGGGACCTGGTGTGGTGGGAGGTGTCCCTGCCCAGGGCAGGGGGTGGCACTGGATGGGCCTTAGGGTCCCTTCCAACCCAAACCATTCCATGATTCTGTGATTCTATGATTCCATGATTCCATGATTTTAGATTCCATGATTCTATTTCAGGTAACTACATTAAATAATATCCTTGAGAGGCTGTAGGTACAGAAAAAATTACTCCTTGGACATGCTCTGTGTTGTGCCTCTGTGTTGTTCCCTGTGCTCTGGCTGAATTCACAGGGTGCTTGGGAAAGGAGGGAGCTGAACGGTTGGAGCTGGTTGTCCTGCAAAATGCAAATTTGATGGCACTTGACTTTAGGGTCCCTTCCAACCCAAACCATTCCATGATTCTGTGATTCTATGATTCCATGATTCCATGATTTTAGATTCCATGATTCTATTTCAGGTAACTACATTAAATAATATCCTTGAGAGGCTGTAGGTACAGAAAAAATTACTCCTTGGACATGCTCTGTGTTGTGCCTCTGTGTTGTTCCCTGTGCTCTGGCTGAATTCACAGGGTGCTTGGGAAAGGAGGGAGCTGAACGGTTGGAGCTGGTTGTCCTGCAAAATGCAAATTTGATGGCACTCCCATTCTTCTGAAAAAAACCCCCATGCTAAACTCCCAATATTGCCTTTTGTACCAGTGGGAAGAGTTGAAAGGGTAATGGCACTCCCATCCTTCTGAAAAAAAAAAACCCATGCTAAACTCCCAATATTGCCTTTTGTACCAGTGGGAAGAGTTGAAAGGCACCAGGGTACCGCGCGCCAGAATCAAGGACATGGTTTGTTTGGTTTCATACACTAGAAGCCAAAATAAAACCAGAAATTTACCAAAAATACTCTGGGTGTTTATTTGCTTATGTGAGAGAGAAAGTGTGTCTGGTTTTGTGTTTCTAAAACAGAATAAGAGGGAGAGAAGTGGGAAGAGAGAGATTCTCTGTGGGTCAGGTCCAAAGACCATCAAAGCTACAGAGCTCTTATTTATAAGCCCTGGCCATGTCCCTTGTTACACAGAGCCTGCCCTCACTATATAGCCTGCTCACTAAAAGGAGTTTTGATACTTTTTTGCCGCATCATAGAAGGGAGAAACCTATGATTTGAACTAAATATCAATAAATAATGATCTTGTGGAGGTCACCTCACACCGATCGGCACTTGAACAGCATTTGAAAAGAAGCAGTGAGGAATTAAAAAGCAGGAGGAATGAGAAGTATCTGCTAAATACAACATGCACCGAGAAAGACAAGTAAAAATGTTGTTATATCAAGGTCAACTTCACGTAAGTGATTGCTCTAACAGGACTAATTACCAATGAAAACTGGTTCCTCACATAGAGATGATTATAAATGGGGCTGATTATAAAAAAGGTTTATAGAGAAGTGGTGACAAGTGGACTTAAATATATTGCCTGTACAGAGCTGTAAATACAAAGATCTATAGAAACATGTGCACACACACAGAATTTGGTGCTTTAACTTAGATCCCACTGTAGAACAGCCACACGGCACGTTGGGACTAACTCTGTCGACCAGGCAAGACCTGGGCACGGGTCTGTGGGCAGCCTGGACTCTCATCACTATTAAACAGGAAAATATTCCTGTTCCAAACCGAGCCCAGTGGGCTCTAAACTGGACTTGTAAATTTAATGGGTGCTTAGCAGAAATGAGGGAGCCATGCGACAGAAATCAGGAAAGGAGGGCAAATAAAATAACATAAATAGGGCTGTGTGAACAGTTTTTCAGCAGCATAAGGAGAGGAGCAAGTAAAAATTCCTGCAGCAAACCAAGACAAACCCTTCTTTCTCTTTCCTTCTCCTTTGCTGGTCTCTCTCTCTCTCTCAGAAAACGTAGCTCGTCCTCCTTATTTTATTTTTTACACACATGGGTGTGACTAACGTCTTGCCCAAGGGAATCTTTATTGGAAATACATGGTATTGGAATTTGTTTAAGATTTTTATCAATAGCACGTGTGTCCAGCCTCACATCCAGAAGCGAGGGGAAGGTCAAGGGGTCACAGATCAAACTCCCGAAAAACAAAAAAAGGAGGGGTGGGGGGAAGCTGCTATTGATCCCGTCTGCCGCCACAGCCGGTTCTCATTTAGCTGTAGAAGTTAAAGACATTAAAGGGCTGTGACGGAGAGGGGAATAAAAAGCCACAGCCAAATGGAAGGAAAGGTCACTGAGGACAAGCTGTGGGCAAGCAGGAGCACTCCCGGAGGAAGAGGATGCACCTTTAACCCTCCACGGATCACTCTCTCACAACACCACACTTATTATTAGTTTAACACCGGCAGGTGAGCCCTTTGCCAGGCTCGCTGGTGTTTTTGTGACCCAACCATTCTGAAGCAGAAACAGACCCTCCCAGGGTCCCTCTGCCTTTCGGGTCTGAGGCTTGGGTTCAGGATTACAATCCCTGTCTGGCTTCAGCTTTTGCAGAACCCCAGCCCAGTTGACACGCTTTGGCTTAACATATTTGGTAGCAAAACCTCTGAGCGTGGAGCCAGCCCTTGCCTTACAGAGAGCAGGGGAGGAAGCAACACATAGAGTTGTGTATCACTAAGGGACGGCATTAAAATCCCAGCTTTCTTTTGGCTGAGGAGGGTGAACATGTTGTAGGGCTTTTGGGGAAGCAAGAATTGGAGATGGGGAAGGAGAGAGATCTAGGAGTTGTCCTTTTCTAATAGAAATGTTTTCATGTTTCAGTTGGGACTTAATTGGACTGCAAGGGTGTTGGGGAGGCTGTGGAGCAATCTCCATCTGTGTCTGGTGAGCAGATTCCCATTTACTCTCTAGATGGACAGATTTCCATGAAAACCCCTTCCAGTACAATATACACACCTTCTTACATTCCCTCCCTCTCTTCTCCTGTCCCCTATGCAGGGGGAATACAATCACTGCACTTACTTTGTCCATACTGTCCATACTGGTAGCCAGCCACTGGGTCCACGCTGTAACTGGTGGTGCTGTAGGTGGGAGGACAGTAGGACTGGGAAGTCGGGAGGCTGTCCACGGACTTGATGGAGTCGCTCCTCTGGCTGCAGCTGGCAGAGATGGAGTTGGTGGTGTCCAAGCCACCGTGAAGGGGAGAGATGGAGAAGTCAGCCTGGGGTTGCGGAGGAACCCCGCTGGGGTTGCTCAGGATGCTCATCACCTGGAGAAACACAGGAGACAATGTGTCAACGTCTGGAGGAGAAAGGGTACATTTGCAGCTGCCTTCATGCACACCAGGGAGAAACAGTTGACATATATAATGGTGCTCTAACAGTATAATACACAATATCAATACAGGTTTGGCCAGGCTGGAGAATGGAGGCCTGAATCCACCCAGTAACAACAGAGAGACCCCACAGTTGGCTCCTCTGTCTCTAACACTCTATTTGAAAGACCTCAATAGGGATAAATGAGAAGTTCCTTCAAAGCACCCTCAATTTTTGCTCTCTCTTTGCTGACCTGCCAACAGTGTTAGCCGTGCTGTTGAGAATGAACACTGGAGAGAGGAATAAACTTGGGACAAACCTGCTCAACACACACTGCCATGAACTAACACCCCCTCCCTCCTACAAAAGGGAAGAAAAAGCTATATTTTCAGAAAGGGACACTGAAGACAGCCCCTTCCTTTGGTGTCTGAGTGGCGCTTGGTTTGCCAAGGTCCCTAAGTAAACCAGAGACAAACCCTTTCTGGCTTTGATGCAGATTCAGCTTTAGGGACTGAAATGTCAAAGTTTTCTTTACCCTCAAATGTTAAAGGAGAACAGGTCCTGGCTGGGCTCATTTCAGCGTAGTGCTCGGTTTGAAAACGTAATTACATTTGCACACAAGCGATCTTCCTGCTTTGAGACCTGAAACAGATGAACTTTTTTTTTTTTTTTTCCCCCTTCTTTTGCAGCAAAAATGCCGGATTTGTTCCTGCGGGTGAGTTTGGGGTAAGCCGCTGCCTACAGGCCTTCACACCGGGCCCCTGATCCTGCTGGCGCTTTAATGCAATTGCCTTTCTGCAATCAGCAAAATTACCCCCGGGGGTGACCAAGTTAAGAGTGTAAAGAGTTTGCAGAAGCTGGGGGGGCCGCGGCGAGGGGAGGGAAGGGAAAGGGAAGTCCTGATGCCTCTTGGTTGATCTCGCAGCCGCCGCGGGCCTTGCCGGGCCTTGCCTGGCCGTGTTTGTGCCGGGGGACGGCGGCGGGGGGAGAAGGGGACAGCCAGTCACCTCAGGGGGCCAGGCCGGCGCTCAGATGCCGAGCGGCTGAAAATCTCCGAATTTAGCATAACCTTATTGACATCAATTAAAGTGGCAAATTGGAAATATTTGGAGCCTGGCAAGTGGTAAAATGAGCCCTTTATCCCCCACCAGCGGCCTGGTGAGCTATTGTGCGGAGGATCCATTCTCTGGAAGGAGACAAGAGGGCTTGTATAGAGCGGCGTCTCCCCTTCCTGCTCCTCACCCCGACACCTTCCCCATCCCCTCCTCCCCTCACCTTCCTGCTGGAGCAGGGGGTTTAGGCTGAATGACCGGCTCCACGCTGCCCTTTGCTTTCTAAAGCTTCTCCTCCCTCCCCCCGGAAGGATTCAGGAGCCCCCGCTAAGACGCTTTCTCTTGATGTGATGCCACCTCCCGACTCGGCCAGCCCGAGATCCTTCCCAGGCGTTTGTTTGGGAGAGAAATTGGGGAGCAGGGGAGGCTGGACCCCCGCGGAGGGGGAGGCGGTGGGGAGGTACCGGGGAGGGGGTTAGTTAAAAAGCCTGGAAAACCAATCTAACCCCAGCCACCGGGTTTGTCTGCAGTTGTGGTACAGAGACCCGGGGACACGCTCAGTAAAAGCAGCACAGAGCTCAGAAGGGGCTCATTCCCCCTCTCCTCCTTCAGGGTTTTCAGCCTGAACTGAGTTTGCTTCTGGTCCAGTAGCAACTGGACTCTGGTCCAAGAGTTTGCTAGTTAAACCCAAAAGTTAAACCCAGCTTAGCTGTCTCTACACCGTGGGGCAGACGGAGCTCCAAACAGAGCCCAAATTACCTCCAGCTCTCCGTGGGGCAGACGGAGCTCCAAACAGAGCCCAAATTACCTCCAGCTCTCCAGACCCTCCGGGCACAGCTTCTTAATCACAGCCATTAAGCCTCGAGGTATCTAGATGAAGTTGTTTAGCCATAACGCTGTCCTAAATGTGCCCGTGGAACTCCCTGCCCCATGACAGCCCAAAGAAAGAAAGAAGAAAGGAAATTGCATTTAAATATGCAAGACAGAGTGGATTAATACGAGAACGGGGCTGTCATGCTTTTCTGGGTGGATGTAACGTAAACCTCTCTGCCTGGAGGCTTATGCAAGGGGAAAATCAGGGGAGTGCAGCCTGAAGGTGGGTTTTCCAGCTGCAAAGTTATTTGTAACCTTCCACTAAAGCCGGGTCGCGAACTTTGATCTGGCTCAGCTACCAATCCTCCTTCTTCTGCCCCTCCATCCTGCTTCAGAGCAGGCTTCCCAGCTTCAGCATCACCTCAGCCGTCGCTGTGACACCCTGCACCCCCTTGCCCTGACAGATACGCAGGACCTTTCCGTAGACAGCAGCCACGAGCCGTTATTGGATTTCACTCGTGAGCAGAAATCGGATGTTTTAAAACAATAAACATCCTTCTTGCATGCAGGAAAACACAGCCATGGGAATGACGAGTGGTTTTGGGCAGGCTCCAGCCCCGTTAGCACAAAGCCAGAGCGTTTGGGACTCTCCTTTCCTGAGCTGTGCAGGTCTGGAAGCGCTGCCCGTCCCCCCTGAGCCCCGCAGGTGCAGAGAAGAAATGGTGCGCTATAAAGCGAAGGGCAACTGGAACCACTCACAGAGCAGAGGGTTTTCTAAGTGCTCTCCCTCCTGGCCATCTCCCCAAAAGAGTCAGCTGCTTTATATTACTCAGAAAAAATAAAAGGCTCTTAAAGCAAGCAGAAGTCGTATTAACACTTCCGCTAAAGGCCCTTTTAAAAAGAAAGGGGGATGTAAAGCAACGTCGGCAAATGAAACCCAGATTCACACTCTTCAGATTCAGAGGAGCTGAGACCGGAGAAGACACTTGCACAAATCCTACTAAAGACAGTAATTGGCTTTAATCAGTCAGAATCAGGGCTGATTTCTAATCCCAGCTCTGCTACTGACTCACAAGGGCTTGTGCAAGTCACTTAAGCTACGACTCGACTCAACTAACCTTAGCCATGTGAAGTTAAGTTTCTAGTCTCTGCTAATCCTCCAGAATCCCTCTACAGAGAGACTGACATTTCTGAAGGACAATTCAACCCACCCTAAGACCTCTTTCTGAAAAAAAAGTGGGCTGAACTTCCCTCGGGAAATCCGTGGTGAAAGATAAGGATGCCAATTTTTCATCGTGACGATGCCAGGGTGGATAATGGACAGGGAACTGTAGGGAGGTTGGAGAGGGGAGATGCTGGAAGATGCTACGAGATGGACATCCCTGCTGGCTGCTCCCATGGAGGTAGGGTGGCTGAGGGCTGCAGAGGAACCCTGAGGGAGGCTCAGCTGAGCCAGGAGCCCCAAAGATCTTCCTTTCCTCTTCAGCGACACTGACTGTGGGAAGTGTTTGCCTTTTCCAGGCACACTGAGAGCAATTTGGGGCTGAGCTCCCCTGAGACTCAATCAGAGGATGGCGTCCCATTTTCCCCACCCCAGGACACGAAGGTGTTAGAAATAACCAGAGTGAACAGTAGATTTCTATTCCCTCTTCCTACGCAGCCACCCAGCACGGATAACCCTACAAAAGCCCTCCAGCCTCAGCAGGCCTGCCTTATCTGACTTCTTGTTTCAGCTGGATAAACTCATTTTCCAGGCAACTTTTGAACTTAGCAAAGTCTGGGGCATCTGGAGAAATCCCCTCCTCAAGAATGCAAAGTCCTTTTACCTTTTCTTTTTGACCTTGCTTTCCTATAATTTATTACTTCTTGGTGCATTATCATCACTAACTAAAAATCAATACCCACTTCACATCTGTAAGGTTTTATCTGGAGGGAAATCTGCTACCTGTCCATCATGGTGACTGACAGCCTTCCCTTTCCCCTCCCTCTCATCACTTGTCTCTCTCTCTCTCTCTCTCTCTCCCCTTCTCCATCTCCTGTCCCTTTGCTGCTGTCCCAAATCAGTCACAGGCGTGCCGTGGGCTCCCACTTCAGGGTAAGTCAATAACAGCCACGGTGCTGGGAGCCTTCGGCCTCGTATCTACCCTTTCTGGAGGTCATTTGTCATGGGGGGGAGAGGGGGTAGGGGTCCTGATGTGTTGGGGAGACCAAGGTTAATGCACAAAGACCCTCCTGGATGAAAGAGCCAGCCACCAC